ATGATTACAGAATTGTTTTTTAGTGGAAATCTAGGAGACTGAAAGTCATGAGATTGGGGGTTTTTTTGGAGACAGTCTCTACAAACATGAAAGAACAGAACAACTCATTCCTTCCCTTTATTTTCCAGTTTCTATTTCTAACTCTTTAATATCAGAGTGGGAAGAACATTTATGGCACACCAGAGGCAACTGGTGGTGTGAGCTTTCTGTACTACAGTAATGCACTGATAGGGATTATACAAGAGCTGAGGTCTCAGTGTTCCCTGCTGGCAAATCTTTTTTAAGGACCCCACATTTGTCTTTGAGAGGAAAAGTAGCTCTGGAGAAAAATGGGGTCTAAAACGTAATAGCCATCAGTACCAAGGTAAACCCAGCCTTCTATTCTGTGCAGTATCACCCTTGCACACATTCCGATGTACTTAAGAGTGCAGTCCTACAGCAGAATGAGCTGATCGAAGTCCAAACTGCAGTTATCCGAATCTCTTCAGCAGCTCTCTGGCCTTGCAACTGCATGGATGTTTGAGCCAGTGTGTGCTCTGCCAAGTTCATGCATAGAAACATTAGATCTCTGATATTGCCAGTATCTATGTAATTTGTTTTACCTGAGATTCTTCCAGAAGTCTGAATACAGCAGAAGTTGCTTTCCCTTTCGAGGGGAATAAATTTATCAGCACTTAGTTAAACAGAGAGTCTGAGAAACATTAATTTTGTGCAGAAGAAAGCTAGTTAGGGATGAGAGATGTATTTGGTGCAACTCCTTTTACATCTAAATACAGTTAAACCTGGCTTAAGAGTCCGGAGTCAGGAGGTGGTGTGGTCCCAGTACTCCATGTCTTGCTCTGTTCCCCACCTGTTTGACACTACTGGCTTCATTATTGTAAATATCCTGTGGGATGGTTGGCTCTGCTGTACTTTTGTGCTCTTCAGGTACCCTCAAGATAAAGACGTATACTGGTGCCCTCTTTTTGTGCCAAAGCCCACGGCTTTCAAAGAACCCCTCATACATTCTTAAAATTGTAGTAGTTCTTGAGAATTTTATCCTAATAACAAAAGGTGAAACGTATGTTCTTAGTTTTGCTGAGAAACTGAATATTCCTACCTATCTTCAGGAATCTGAAGTGGGACACAGATGTGGCATAAAAACCCTCTGGGAATAGATGGAATTTATCTTTGCTTTGACTATGAGAAAATTAATTTTGAAAATTTGTATACTGGAACTGAAGCTGGAACATGATACTTGGGTTGCAACACATTGTCAGAGAGACCACCTTTAAGGATTCACTAAAAGTGCTTTGTATTTTGTTATAGCACATCCATAATTCATTTAATTCAGTCAGATTTCTGGAAGTGAGTCAGATGATGATTCAATTATTTTCAGCACAAACAGCCTCTGAAGTGTCACCGTCAGTATTATCAACAGAAGTGCTCATAAACTGATGCCGCTGTTTTCCCACATCTCAATACCTTCAGCCGTGGCTACAACCATGGCCCAGGTCTCTGACACATCCTGAATCTATTGAAAGCCACTTCTGGTGCTGACATGCCTGTTAATTGAGGGGAGGGCTTTCTGAAGAGCAGGCTACTGTAGCTGTGGATTGGGAGGATGTTATTGTATAAGGGCTTCTGGGAAAATCTTCAGAGATGGGAATGGTGGTAGCAGTTATAGAAGCTCAATTATTCATACTGTATTACAAGTTAAAAGAAATTAAGTCTTTCTGAAAGTAGAACACGAGGAGAGTGGAAAAAGCGTTTCTGATACAATCTCTCAAACTCACAGCTGGGAGGATTTGAAAGGATTGTGGGCTCCAAGGGAGTAAAATGAGAGATCTTTCAGAACGTTCAAGTAGCCTGGAAACACCTTAAATGCTATTTAAAATTGCCTGTAAATGAAACTAGGTTACTACAATGTGTGAATATGTTTTTTTCCAATGTACGTTAGCCTACATAGACATTTAAGCAAAGTTCTTAAAATATCTTTACCAGCTATTGGACATGGGGCTAGCACAATTGCTCAGTCACCCAGTTCTGAAATATCCACTATATCTGCAAAGCCTTTTGAGGGGATACAGTAGAGAGACATCTTGGGTTAATTCACTGTGGGATTTCTTGTAAATGTTTCATGTGTTCTGACAATTTGGAGTACATTTGTTTTGGTAGGAAGTTAATAAGAAAACAAAAGCTGACAAAAACTTTCAAATATGCTTGGGCTCAGCTCTATGAAATGAAAATGTATGATGCTGTGTAATGCAGAAGTGCCTAAACTGAAAGCAGTTGGTGAATAGGAGAACATCAGAGAGATGCTTAGCATGGTCCTAACCTGCCATCGGCACCACTGTGGGCAATTGTCGAAGGCAGGATTGGACTTACAGTGGTGATGACCTTGCCATTGCAGGTCACATGAAGCTCCCAAGCTGTTTCACATGACCTGGTGTCCCAAAGGAAGCTTTAAATGACATTTAAGTCTGATCACAGTAGCCATAAGCCCAGATCTGCACATAGCCGAAAGCTGGTGTGCTGTGCATCTTAAACAGTCAAGAGATTCATTGTATTGGTTCATAGCCAGGAGGGGAAACGAGATCACTAAAGATATCCTCAGATCTGTAGCAGGATGGGGAAGATCTTCATCCCTAGCCATGTCCTAGGCAGTCCACCAGCACTGACCTCAGCAGTCTCTCCCATTTCAGGGACTCAGATCAGGCAGTTACTGCTGCCAGAGCATCCCCACTGCTGGTCAGCTGAATTTTGAGGGTTTGAACTGCTAGCCAATCCTGTTCACTTCAAAAGCAGGATGTTGGCTGTTGCTAACTTAATTAACAGACTCACTAGTAAGGTCAAGAATGACTTGCAAACAAGTCACTGTACACTTTAGTGCCTGAGTTGCAACCCTTGCCTACTATTAGTTGTAATAAACAACAGGGATAAACATGAGCTGTCTAATTTTAAGTATGAGAATGCCAACCCACTGGACAGGAAAAGGGGAGAGTGGTGGTGTATGCACGGTGAATAGCTGCAAGACAAAGCCACAAGTGTCTGAGCCACAGTATTGCTGGAAAAATCTTTGAGAGAGGATCCTCTCTGGAGCATAATATGACCTGGATTATGCTTCCTCAGATCTCTTCTCATTTCAGAGGTAAATACCAAACTATAAACCCCCGCTGGCCTTGCCTTCTGCATCTCCAGCAGTTTCTTCATGTACTGAATGAGCAATGCAAATGAAGGAGGGGTTGGCATGGCCTAGTTTATCAAATTTTGCATGTTCCCCTCAGTTTTGGTTGTGAATACCCACCTTGTTGTATGCAGCGGTGGAGCATTCATTTCAAGCAGACCTACGTGGTTGGCTCAGCTCCATGTCATACCACTCGTTTTACACACCAGCCCTGCTAGGAATTTGTCTCTATTTAAGGGGCATTTCTCAAACTGTGGTTCATGAGCTGATGGCTGGACAGCCAAGGAAGGTGGATGTATTCCAGTGACACACAATTTTACCACAGCTCTGTGTACAGGCTGAATCATGACAATTTGGTGCAGAAACCTTTTTAGAAGAGGGTTTAAAAATACACTTTCATGGTTTCTGTAATAAGATGTTTCTAAAGAAGGTGTATTACTTTTAGCAGCCAAAGGCAATCAAGTTGTGGGTTTTGTTTAAGAAAAAAATCTAAAATAGAATTTAGCATCATTTAAATGTTCCTCCTCTTTGATGGCTAAAAATGCTATGAGATATTGACCAGCTCTGTGCTTGATTGCGTGCTGGTTTGTTGGAAATGAACCATGTTGTTCAAGTATTAATTTTGGGTAAAAAAATAGCTTTTCAGTTAGTCTGTGCTTGCATGGAGAATGAAATTATATAGGGAGCTGTATGTGTTCTCCTCAAAAGCTTGGATTACTTATTTTGTGAGTGCAAATGTATTCTAAATATAAACTAGAGAGTAAGAGGTTGTGGGCGGCTTTTTTCCCCTATTATTCTCAAATTCCCTGTAAGAAATTTTGTTATAAAAGCCAACAGTAGCCTATCATTTAATCAGTTACAAAAGGTTAGTGTAAACCTGTATAACATTCTTTCTTGGTAAGTAAAGATTGTAATTTTTACTGAAAAAGGTTATTTTCATACCCCAGGAAAAAAAATGAGATAAAAATGTAAAAAATACATTGCAAGCTTTTTTTTTTTTCCAAAGTATGAATAGGAACATTTTGAACAGTTAATAAACAATGAATATAATTTATAAGAGTGAGCAAATTATGTGCTGATTTTCTTAAATATATGAGACTTTAACTTTTCTTGTTGCTTTTCTTATCCCTCTCTCTGGCAGTATCATCTTCCTTGGCTTTACTGAAGTATTTGTTTATAATGTTTTTATCACACGTAGAAGGTTGTGTGTGTGTTAGATTGGTATAAAAAGTACCTACCTTTTTCCATTAGATTGTTTGTTTACTGAAGCTGTAAATGGGTTCCATAGCATTGCCCATAGGTTATTAAAAGGAGACCTCTCTGTTCAGTTTTCTTCTGCTGTAGCATTTTTCACGTTTATATTTTACTAGCTTTCCACTCGGCGTAACATTTTCTAGGTGAGACAAGGCATAAATTTCCAAAGCAATCATTTTCCCCCAGAATGCCCCCCAAGCCCCAAAGTAGCCTTTCTTAAATATGCAGTCTGTTCATGTATGCATCATCAGCATCATCTGCCCTGTATCCTAAAAGTAACATTTAGGCTTGAGACTTCTAAGGAAAATCGATTGAACTGCTCAACATGGCTGTTAAAAACACCTTGCTCTGTGTTCTTCTGAGGAAGAAAACTGTATGCGAAGAAATAATGTGTTAAGCTTTTGATAAGAGAAAATCTTTGGATACCGCTTCTCTGAGGATGTTCAAAGCTTTTATCTAGAAGGCAAAGGGTAGGAAAAATCTATACAGCAGAGCACCTGTGATATGAAGGGTCACTCATAAATTAATTGCTGTACTTAATTACTTTTTAACTGTTTTTTCCAGGTCCCCCCATTATTCTATGGGCAGTAGAGCTTTTTCCCATGATAGTATTTTTATACCTGATGGGAGAACAGAGAGTGAACAGGCCATCCAAGCAATGTCACAGGAGAACGTTTTAGGAAAAGTCAAAACTCTTCAGGTAAGAAATCATAAGTGGAAAAATACACTTAAGATGTAGTAGAAAATGGTCTCCAGAATGTGTTAAATGTGGATAAAGGTGGGTTACTTTTTCAATAGCCTTGAGGCAGTTTCTCAACCATGGAAGCTGTCTGGCCAAAAGCCATGTAAATTCGGATAATCTGCAGAACGGGATTTTTTTGGTCATGAAAGGTATGGCAGTGATGCTGCAAGCAAATGTCTGCATCTTGTGGAACTCCTTTGAATTGAACTCATGGTTTTGGCATGTCCTGGTCTGTATGCCCAAGACCTGCAGATGTGGTACTGAGTGAAAAAATGAGGGTGGTGTTGGCGGCAGGGAATGGCATGCAGAGTGAGACTTCTTTGCAAAGCTGATTTAATTATCCTTTTATACATATTACATTTATTTTTTCTCCTTCTTTTTCACCCTGTCCTTTCCACGGCCTCATGAAAGGTAGATACATTTATCTCTCCAAAGCAAGCGGTGCATAAGTAACTGCATAAACAATACGTTTGGTTATTTGCTTCTAAACAGCTTTACATGACCTACTTTCCCTTCCAGAACTCTGCCCCATTAGTACTCTAATTTTTTTGCCTTGCTTCATGTGCATCTGTAAAATTTCCAGCTCTATGCCTATCTAGACCTTGGAAGAGCTGTCCTTCAGAAGCATGCTTCAGTTTATTGCTCAGGATGCTGACATATCCTGTCAAAATGCTCATGAATTTTTAATGCTCTGTATGTGCTGTTACCCTGTAGCTAACTAGTAAAATGCCATTGATTTCTGTTGCCTTTAAAGCCAACCCATGGTCCATCTTTTCTGGTGAGTGAGACATCATGCAGAGTAGACAAATCCAACTTCAGGATGAAATTGTTCCTTCTTCCTGCACAGTGCTGTCAGCAGAGCACCTCAACAGCGTTGGCTCTGCTGACTGCGGATGAACTTTGAAGTAGAAACCACACCAGGACAGCTCCAATTTCTCTGTGCTGGTTTCTCAGCTTGAATTTCTCTGGGTCAGATGGATTCAATGCATGCTGCTTTCCAGGCTAGAAACCATTGTATTTTAAATGACAGCTGACACTGGGCAAAGATGCAAGGCAGTTGGACCTGTTTTGCAGAGTACCTGAATGTGCTTTGGATACAAAGCCCCCCCACTGACTTCTGCAGAGAGCTGTGCCGTTTCTGTCTGTTGGACCTCTTGTCTTGGCTTCGGTACGTTAGTTTCTCTCTGAATAACTTTTCACTTTGTGGGAGTGGCTTCTCCTATTCCAAACTCACCTTAAAATTCCCGATGGAAATTACTGCCTTCACTACACTCAGAGACATGATAAAAAGTACAGTTACTGCAGTTGCTAACAACCATCTTCACTAAGCAAACAGCAACTCAAGAAAATTAAAGCAAAAATAGTCACCCTTGAAAGTCACTAAATAAATAGCCAGTGATAGGCTCTTGCTCATGTGAACTTTGCATGATCCTTTTTTTTGGTGTGGTTACTTGCATGTATTTAATAATTGCTTGATGTCAAAAGTGTGCTTTTTTATTATTTAGAATGAAAATCAAATCTGTGGCCAGCTCCTGGTAAAGTCATTGCTACCAATTCTGTGGTCTTGCCCAGGCTTGCATGTCACAGCAGAAGCACAGCCCTTCCAGTTCCCATTTGTCTGGCAATGCTCCTCAGCAATTAAGTGTTGCCAGGATTCAGTGCCCTGTGCTGACTCTGAACTCGTATTCCAAATGGACATCAAAAACTCTGTAGATTTTAACCATTTTCATGATTTTCTGGGGGGAGCTGTACAGTAAACATTCCTGAAAAGCAGATTTATTTATTTTTTTTTTTGGAAGAGGCACCATGCTTACAAGCCCAACTGGTAGCATGGTGAAAAGGAGTTTGAATTCAGAATAAAAATGTAAGCCATTTAATACTGAGGATGCTGGATCTCATTCTGCTGACCACCAGTATGTTCATCTCTCCTTGCATTTCTGCTGACTTTGGGGTGTTGATGAACCCACAAAAAGTGTTGCGTAATGGTGCAAAACTCTGTAGCGGTCTGGGCAGCTGGCCAGCATGTGCACTGGTTCAGCTTCTTGTTGTAGACATTATCTCTGATTATGTGTGCAAGGTAAATTAGTTCTATCGGGAATAGCTGTCATTTGTTTTTATTGATTTTCAGATTGGCAGAATTCATCTTATCAGGCTTTCTGTAAATGGATTCGGTCACGTTCAAAGGTTTTAGTGTGTGCTAGAAGTCAGCCTGAGAAAAGCCTGACTTCTTGTTAACCTCTAGTAGTTATAGCCTGGAGTTTACATATCCTGAAGTTCTTTCGTGTTGGCTCAAGCTACCTGCTGTTGTAAAAGCAGTCTTTTCCTTGTCCTTTGGATCTGCTGAGATTTATCATTACCTAGATTTTAAGACCCAGTATAGAAAGCCAGCCTGAACCTGTTCCCACAATAGGGTGGTACCCCAGGCACTGGTATGCTCAATGCTGAACTTGTTTAGTTTCTTGGGATCTGGTGCTTTACTTCTCATACAGGACTGTGAATGCGACACAAGGAATGCTTAAAATGCAAGTCTAGCAGTGCGTCAGAACAAATGTAAAAGAAGCTCTGGGAGCTTGTTTTTACATCCTTCCCTTTCACAGAGTAGTGGGGTTTTCTTTCTTGCATTAGTGTTAGCTCTACTTTCTCACATTTCACAGCTGTGACTGTTCTTCTTACTGCTGCTATTTGCCAGAAATGGTCAGCAAATGAACAGAAGATGATTTTTGTTTCAGACTCACGAAAACTGTAGCAAGTGAAATGGAAACTTGTTTTGAGTGTTAGTATCATGACACGTCTAAGCTGTTATCTCCCCTCTGCTGTGACAGTACTGTGGTGGGACACTGCTTCAGCCTCTGAAGGCAGGAGGACAGCTTTTCTCCACCTCCTGCCTTCACTGACTGCATTTGGGTCATCCAGCACCTGTGAGGCTGTGACAGTCAGCCGCAAGAAATATTAATGTTTGAGTATCGCACACGGCTTATTGCATTTAGGAACTACTGGCCTGCAATTTTTCTGTTTCATGTGGTCATGTGTTTAAAACAAGCAAACCCTCTGCTCTGAGATTTGTAAAACACTATTTCTTACACAGCAATTAATTATGATAAAATACATTTTGTGAGTTTCAACTTCTTCGTCACATTCAAAGGACCACTTTTTAAATTCACATTTCTTTGGCTCTGTAATGACAAGTGTCCCCTATAATTTTCTTCCCATTTCTTTTGGTCATTAACATATCTTAGCTAATGATTGAGCTGGTGCTCCTGCTGTGCATTGCACATCTGTATTCTACCAGCCATTCCTGTTATTGTTTCTGTTTGATATTGCCCAGACTGCAACAAGGCTACAAAGCCATTTACTAAACCTCAGAACTGTTATCTTTTAACTTGATGCTGTGCATTTTATAGAATTGGGATTGAATTTTCACTGCATGGTGCTGCTCAGCTTTGTGTTTCTTATAATTCATTTCTTTCTTGCCAATATTTTCTAGTGACACTTCAGCCTAGTTGTTTTCTTCACATTTGACAATTTTTGTCACGTAACAGGTTGAATTTATCACTTTTTCCTAATCATTGTAACATTTCTGTGGCAGATCACCTTTTTTCCTGTGATCGTATTAAGCCCTGGAAATGAGCTTCCATCTTCCTTACTCGCATCTGCTTTGCTTTTGGTCCTCTGCAAGGGGAGGCCCAGGTGACAAATTCTGCAGATCCTGTATCAAAGGCTTCTCCAGAAAGTCTTGCTCTCAAGACATGCGCATCTTTAAGTGGTTCATTGCCACTGTATACCGAAATCTTCATTTGCAACTGGATATGCTGCAAATGCATGTCTCTAGAGATCCATACACAGTTTGCTTCTTCACCATTCTTCTATTTGGGACTGTCCCAAAATCATTCTTGAAGTGTAATGCCCCAAACCACGTGCTGCTCCGGAAATGGAGAGTGAAATAGTTCCCTCCCTACATCTTAAATCCAACACACCTGGGGTTTTGCTGTTTCTTTTCCTCCTTTTCTGTAGGTTTACATGTTAATTTTACATCTATATAGTTTACTTTCTAAAGTCTCCAGATACACCACTATAACTTCTCACATGATGCTTTCCAGTCTATTCTCTCACTTTGATTAAAAAAAAAAAAGATGGTTATGGAGGGTGTTTTGCATGTTTAGATATGCTGCAGATTTTCCTGTTTGGATAAAGAAGTGGATTCACTCTCATAAAAAGAGCAATTAGGTAAACTGTCTTTTCAGACTAGAAAAGAAATTATAAGGAAAGAATGTAATAGAAACACATGAAATCGTGAGTGGAATTGAGAAGATGAATAGAGGACAATAGAGGAGCCAAACTGGAGTGAAAGAGGAGATGTACAGCCTGACCTGGTGTCTCTGCTGGTTAATATGGAAAGTTTATTCTGTGGCATTTCCTATGCAAACACAAAGAGTGCTTTGAAAGTCTGAGCTTTTTAAGTTTGCTGCAGGTGCCAACCAATGCAGAGCAATTTAACCTAGGAGATCTATTTCTGAAGTGTTGATGGTAAGCTGGTGTAAAGATGTCAGGTAAATAGTATCACATTTTAGCAGATTATTTTGCATGAAATAAAACTGGGCCTGTATCATGGTCCAGTTACTGAGGTAAATATTAAAAATCAGATGAGTGCAAACTTCTTTTTTCCTCTCCTGAATTCCCAGTATTTGTTTGCCTTTATCAGATACGCAGCCCTGCCTCTCACCTTGTAAGTCCTGTGGAAATACTTGTCTGTCTCCTGGCTGCAAACTGAGGGACTGGGAAAGCTGTTGGAGTTGGTAAGGTTGGAAAAGGAAGGTGCAGATAGGAAACGTTCATCTCTTTCCTTCTGCTTCTATCTGACAGATTTCGGAGCAGGATGGTGACTCCTGGCTGCTAAATTACGAGCCTTCTTGCACAGACCAAAATAGACCAGGTTCATTTAACTGAGACTGATATACATATATGGAGATTTCTAAAAGGCTCTTTAAATGCCTGCCTGCGCAATGGTAGAAGAACAAAATGTCATGCCTGCAACTTCTAATAACAGGCATTGCAAATAATCCTCCTTAGGCAACCATCATCTACATGCTGTCAGCACTGGAAGTTCTCAAATACTCGGATTTACAGTTTTGTGTTCAGAAATATTTGTCTGACTGAAACTTTTGAGACATTTAAAGCGGATGCTCTTCTTCGGGGAATATGGCCTCTTCTCAATAGCCTTGCAGCTTAAATTGATGTATTTCTCCATCTCTGGGTTGGACAGTGTGTGTTCTTCCAAGTAAAAGTTGTGGGTTTTTTCTTTCATGGATGATGCATTTTTAAGGTTTTTATGAATGACTGGTTAGACAATAGATCTATATGAATTCTTTTGAGAGAGGACAAATGCATTGTAGTTACAGTATAAGCACATTTTGTAAAAGAACAAGGAACTGGTTTATTACTGCTCTGAAAGCAATAAGAAGAAACTTAGTGGTAACAATAAGGTATTTGAGATTTTTACATTTGGTATTCAGCATCAGTTTTGGAGATGCACTGAAAGAGATTAGTCAATGGAGAACTACTAGTAGAGTTCATTTAAGCTAAATTTTGTTCAAAAAAGGCTAATAAATAAATAATACAGAGAAGAGCCTTCTGTCCTGGAAGGAATGTGAGGGCTACTAGAGTTTGTTTTTTTTTTCTTCAATCTTCAAACTAATTTATTCAAGTCTGAGCAAATACACTTTGAAAACTTTGAAACAGTTAAAAAAAACCCAACTGTGTACAGTCCATAAATATTGAGGATAGTCTATTTCCTGAGCATAACAGAAAAGTAACATTTTACATTTTTATCTATACAAATACGCTTTTTTACAGCAGAGCCCCTTAGCATCCTTGATGACAATTCAAAAGGCCGTTCTTTTTAAAGCACAGGCCATTCTCTGTAGTAGCTCCATCACCACACAACTCTCACTGTGCACTGCACACACAGTAGATTTAGAACTTGATCAGAAGATGAAGAGAACGACACACCATCCCTTCCTCCAAAACACATTACGGGCAATGTGTACATGCGTGCCTGTTCTCCCCATGCAAAGCATGGGAGCAGCCTCAACTTAGAAAGCACATTAACAAATTAAGAAGCTGTTCTGAAGTAATTTTCTACTAGCATCAGAAGGCCTGCAGGAACAGAGCAGAATTGCAGCCTTTGCACTATCTGATACAGACCTGTTTGCTGTCTCCAACTCCCATTACGCATTTACATGTAAGATTTCAAGTCAGAGAGTTGCACTGCTGACATGAAAGCCTGGGAGGACTTGGTGAAACCCTTGCCTTTAGGCTATGGCTATGCTGCCAGTAATCGAGGAGGGAATAGAACTCTGCCATTCAAAACTGCCCACTATGCCAAAATGTAGTAGATTAATTTCATTACTTTTTCCCAAAATCCAAGCAGGCATGAATAATGTGTAACTCGATGAGGAGACTGAGAAAAACCATTCAGATTTAGTAACCTGATTATGAGGAGTCTTTGCATGTACTTTTTTGTCTTAATAGTTCAATACAGAAATCTGATAATGTTCGCGGGTAATACGGATAAACTTTATATGAGTGCTGAGTCTGCTGGGTAGCAATGGCAAGCAAGGCTGATCTGATGTGAGTCCTTTTGGAGTTTCACCTGCTGCTACTAAGGATATCTGCCCTTGCCATCTGCCCAAGCCATGCTG